TTAGGAGCTAATGACATTTTAGGAAGAATCCCGTTTGAACTTGATAGGTACACCAATCTAATTGCTATAGGTATGGAGATGAACCTTTTCGAAGGTCCCATACCCGAGACCATTGGAATGCTTGGAAGGCTACATGCTTTATTTTTTTATGGGAATGACCTTACAGGAATTATACCTTACTCCTTAGAAAATCTCACAAGACTTGGCGAGTTGGATTTAAGATCCAATCAATTAACAGGCCATATGCTATCAAGCCTAAAAAATCTTCAGCTTCTCAATTTCTTGTCTCTTGGTTATAATAATCTAACTGGCGGGATTCCGAGAGAAATTTTTTTCATTCCTTCTCTTTCACTTGGTTTGGATTTGTCTTATAACTCTTTCACTGGGTCTCTACCATTAGAAGTTGGTCTTCTAATAAATATCGTCTATCTTGATTTTTCTCATAATAACTTGAGAGGAGAAATTCCAAAAACACTTGGAAGTTTTCAATCATTGCTTGAATTACGTATGGAATACAACGTCTTCCAAGGCCCCATCCCTACTTCTCTAAGCAGCTTGAAGAGTATTGAAATACTAGACCTTTCACATAATAATATATCAGGTGTTATTCCTCAATTTCTACAAAAACTTGTCTTTCTTGAGAATTTGAATTTATCATTTAATAATCTTGAAGGTGAGGTGCCACATGAAGGTGTCTTTGCAAATTCCTCAGAAATATCTCTCTTTGGAAATGAAAAACTATGCGGCGGGATTCTAACCCTACATTTGCCAAATTGTGTTGCCAAATCATCTTCAACAAAACTTCATCATTTAATCAAAATTTTATCTCCTATTCTTATCATTATAGTTATGTTATTCATCTCTTTGTTGTGCTACACTTTGCTTAATAGAAGAAAAAAGAAAAATGATTTAAGAAAAGCAACTGGTTTATATTTAAGCCCTCCATTTCCAAGAATTTCCTATGCAAAATTAGTTGAAGCTACGAATGCTTTCTCCACTTCACGCCTAGTAGGATGTGGAAGATACGGCTCCGTTTATGAAGGAAACTTAAGAGATTATGATGCTACCGTAGCTATCAAAGTATTTAACCTTGAGGTTCATGGAGCTTTGAAGAGTTTTACACATGAATGGAGCTTTGAAGAGTTTTACATATGAATGTGATGGAAGCATACGACATCGTAATCTTGTACAAGTCCTAAGTTCATGCTCGAGCATTGATTTTCAAGGCAATGAGTTTAAAGCTTTGATCTTTGAATTCATGCCAAAGCGAAACTTAGACACGTGACTCCACCAAGAACATGAGATTGATGAAGATGATGTTCTCTCTTTGGAAAAACGATTAAGTATTGCTATCGATGTTGCAGAAGCTTTGGAGTACCTTCACTATAGTTGTGAACCATCAATCATTCACTATGACATAAAGCCAAGTAACATCCTACTTGACAATAACCTTGTTGCGCATGTGGGTGATATGTGGGTGATTTTGGATGTGGGTGATTTTGGACTCTCAAGAATGCTTTATGAGAATGTGAATATATCTCATCAAGATTATTCCAACAAAAGTGGCATTAAAGGAACTATTGGCTATATTGCCCCAGGTGATGTGACGATTCTTCTTCTCAATGTTAACATTAATGATGTCATTTCCTCTCAAAGATTTATGGTATTTTACAGAAATATTTTCTCAAAACATATATTTACATTTTATCTACAGAGTATGGTGAAGTAGCTCCCCTGTCTCCATCTGCAGATGTTTATAGTTTTGGAATAGTATTACTAGAGATGCTTATTGGAAGAAGGCCTACTGATGACGTTTTCAGTGATAACTTAACTCTACATAATCACATTAAAATGATAATGCCTCATGGAATCAAATACATAGTAGATCTTAAAATGTTTAGTAAAGAGCAAAGAGATGCTAGCGAAGGGGGTGGAGAAAACCCAAGATGGTTTAGTTGCCAAAGCACCAACAAATGCTTACTTTCCCTTGCAGAATTGGGTCACTCTTGCTCAGTTTCATTCCCAAAAGAAAGGCCTTCCATGAAGGAGGTTAATGCAAAATTAAATGCAATTTGAGCTACTTACGTACCTTCAATCTGATCAACATGATATGTTCTTGAAGAAAAGCTATTATGTGGAAGCAACAACTTTTAGTTGTTTGTGTTTTCAATGTTAGTTTCAATATGTGATGAAATATGTGTAGGAAGATGGATGATGATATACAAAGCAATTTATCAATGACTTGCAATTTCTTTTATTAAAAACTTTCAAGCACTGTCTTCTACTATTATAAAAAAATATCTACATTGAACTTGGAATTTTAGAAAAAAATATTATTCTCTCAAAAATAATAATAATTTGTAAATAACTTTGAAAGAGATTTTTTCTCAGATATTTCATGACAATAATTCATGACAATAATTTATGGAAAATTTCAACTAAACTAAAAAACATAAAAATTTAAAAATTTTCAGTCTCAACTTATTTGATTTTCATGGGGAAATGTGCTAAATAAATTTTGACTTCAAAATAATTTTTTTATTAGAAATTCATGAAGGAATACATGGGTGTTTCCCTCACTTTCTTACTAGATACATCATAAATCTAAAACCTAAACAACAACAACTTTTACTTATATGACATTTTACATATGCCTGAAAAGGTGTATTTCAATTTCTAAAAGTTATAATTGTGATATTTTTTTCTGTGATACCAAAATTTGGGTGGTATAAATGTAAGAAACAGTCAACTGGTTTAGAGATATGTAGATGCATAGGAATGCCTGCTGTTCTCATGGCCAATAACTGAATGCTCCAAGTTCTTGATCTCAGATACAACCTTCACTAGCCAATCTCTCCTTATTGCATGAAAATGGTTTGGAGCTACCGATCCCACTAGAGATTGGTGGTAGCCTTCGTCAGCTAAAATTCTCTAATGTTGGAGAGAACTTCTTGTCAGGTGACTTTCCATCTTCCTTCTACAACATATCATCACTACAGATTTTCATGATCAATGAATCGCTTCGTTGGTGAGATTTCGGTTGATATTGCCAAAGCTTTTCCAAACCTTGAAATCCTTTAGCATTTAATCAGTTAACAGGCCCTATACCTTCAAGCATTAAAAATCTTCAAATGCTAGCCGCTCTAGAATTCAGCCATAATAGTTGAGTGGCTTCATTCCCACCCTTTCAATTATTTTGGATTTCACTGGGAATCTACCATTAGAAGTTGGTCACTTAATGAACCTCTCGTTACTTGATTTTTCTAATAATAATTTAAGTGGAGAATGCCAATATCACTTGGAAATTGCCAATTATTGACTAAATTATATATGGTCCACAATTTATTTCATGGCTCTGTTTCTATTTCTCTGGAAAACTTGAAAAACCTTGAAACACTAGAATTTTCACATAATAATTTATCTGGGACTATTCCTCAAACTCTATAAAGCCTTACCCATCTTAAGAACTAGAATCATTCATTTAATAATCTTGAAGGTGAGGTGCCATACAAGGGCATCTTTGCTAATTCTTTGGCAATCTCTTTCGCTGGAAATAAGAAAATATGTGAAGGAATATCAGGGCTTCATTTGTCAAAATGTGTTCCCGAATCATCATAAGAAAAAAGCAGACATCATTTAATCAAAATTTTAACCCCAACATTTAGTCACACAATTACTCCATTTGTTGTGTTGTTGTTTACTTTATAGAAAACAAAAGCAAAGTGGTAGAAGCAAAAATATATTAGATTCTTCCTTGAGCACTTCCTTAATCACTTCATTTTCAAGGATTTCATATGCCAAACAAGCAAAAGTTACAAATAATCTCTCCACTTCATCTCTTGTTGGTTGTGAAAGATACGACTTAGTTTATAGAGGCACTCTAAGAGATTATCAAACAATTGTGGCTACTAAATTTTTTAACCTTGAGTTGCATGGAGCTTTTAAGAGTTTCACATCTGAATGTGATGCTCTAAAAATCTTACGCCATCTGAATGTGATGCTCACGAAAGCAAAGATTTTAAAGCTCTGATTTTTTTGAATTTATGTCGAAGGGAAATTTGGATATGTGGCTCCATAAAAAAAAAAAAGAGACTAATGGAGATGATATTTTTTTCTCTAAAAAAGAGATTGAACAATATCATCCATCGATGTTTGAAATTATTCCAACACAGGTGAGATTAAAAAAACTATTGGCTATATTGCCCTAGGTGATGTGATGATTCCACTTATTTATGTTATATAATTATATCATTATTTTCAATCTATTATAGCTATTTTAACTCATATTTTTCTAAAACATTTCTCATTTTATTTGTAGAATATGGAGAAGGTGCTCAACATCTACAAATGTTTTTAGTTTTGGAATAATAATATTGGAGATGCTTACTAGAAGAAGGTCTGCCGTAGTATTTTTAATGATAGCTTAAATATATATATAATCACTTTAAAATAGCATTTTCTCATAAAGTCAATAGCAAAATCATAGATCTTAAAATGTTTACAAATCGTTATGTCTTTTTTTCTAATCCGAGTTTATTAAGGTATGGTTGAAGTTAAATTGAAAGCGATCAATGGCTTAGACTTGGAAATGTTATTAGTTAATTAAATGAGGTGAATATAACATATCCTTGGATGCAAATCATAGTTAATTTAACATAATATTTTGCATTTTCATATTCAAGTATGTAGGCATTTATATATTGTTGTGTGTCAGATGTTTCATTACAGTAGAGTAATTATTTAACGACTTAGCACTACACGAAGATTTAAGACACACACAGGCAATAAAATTTTAGCAAAAGAAGACTACTTGATTTTTTATGTGGAAACCCCTGAAAAAAAAAAAAAATCATGGAATCTAGCCCAATCAAAATAATTCATTATATAATTATGAGTATAAAGTTCTAATCTTCCATTGAATTAAAGAAGATAGAATTACAATATTAATATTTATTTATGTGTAATAATCCAGCTTTAATAGTTGTAATTGGGCTAAAACAAATGAGATTTTGGCTATTATTGTGATAGTGTGCTTTAAAGCTCATAATTCATAAAAACTATAGTCGAAGACTGCAATAGCATCAGTTGATCGCAGAGACCTTAGTTGGCAGCCGTAATAGCAATTTGTCTCCTAAGCTATGATTGGTAGTTGTTGTATCATCAGTGGGTCAAAGAGACCGTAGTTGGAACTACATTAGCTGTTAGGTTCATAGGTCATAACTAGTAACACCAATCAAAGTTGGTAGCCACTGTAGCAGTTAGCCATATAATTCATAGTTGAAAGCCACAGTAGCAGCTAGATACATAGGTTGTAGTTGGTCACATAGATCGAGGTTGGTAATTGTAGTAGCAGTTAGCTATATAAGATATAATTAGAAGATATAGTAGCAGTTACCTACATGGGTTGTAGTTGGTCACATATATCGTGGATGATAGTTTAGTAGTAGTTAGCCACATAAAGCATAATTTAAATATGTAGTAGCAATTAGCTACATAAGTTGTAGTTGGTCACATAAGTCATGGTTAGAAGTTGTTGTTGGACCAATTTTTGATATTGCATTCTCGGATGTCCACGTGAATTATAAAGGGTAGTCTTTAGTTTCTTCTAGCCTATGACATTTCATAGGTCCTCCTAGTACATGCCTCAAGCACAGAATCAGGATCAATGTCGATTCAGCCCAATCCGAGAGAGCTCACCATGTAGCGATGTAAAATCTAACACCGGTCATGCTTGATCTCCATTACGGTGTCATAGAGGCCATATCCCGCCTATTCGGAGCTTTTGGTGGCCGAAGGGAGTCATCAAAATTTCTCACGCGCATTTTTGGAAAATTTGGGTTTTTAGACCAATCTACCTGTACGGGGTTCCAGGATGTCTGTTGGCATCAAAATCCTCAAATTGACACATGCAAAATGTTCATTTTGATTTATGGAGTCATTTTCGAGTGATATGTGACTCTCTGTAGTGTTTGAGTCTGTTGTAATCCTACGGGCTCTCGGATGAAAAATTGAGTTTTGTACCATCGGGATCATATCGGGCCTGCAGGGACGGGGGGATTTTTCTCGATACCGTGCATCTACGGGGTCTACCTGGAGATGGAGAGGCCTATTCTCGTCTCTTAATGTCTTCTGATGGTCCGAGAACCGATAAGAATTCACCACACGAGCTTCGACGAAGAAAGGAATCAAAGATCAAAAGATCAAAAAAAATTGAAATTTATTTTTTTGGGGCATAGACGCCACCCCAAGTGGCGCATAGGCGCCAAGAGCCCCTAGGGCGTGAAGTTCAACAAGATGGGGGCTTCAGGTAAAGGGGAAGGCCGCCATTGATGTTGTTTGTAATCCCTTGGGAAAATCAGGCGGTGCTTTGATTCAACAGTTCATGATCTTAACTTTTAGCTTTTTAACCCTAAACTCCACTCCCTGTATTGGAGGAATACTGTTGGTCATTGTTCTTGCATGGTTGGGGGCGGCAAAGTCTCTGAATTCACACTTCTCTGCATTAGCCAAGCAAGAGCTGGAGAAAGAGAGGGTAAAGGGAAAGAGCAGGGAACCTGTGATTGATGTTTCTGCAAAAGAAGCTAAAAGCCTGGTGGACAAGGAAGAGAATGGCTCTCTTCCTGTACCTGAATCATCAGCAAATGGTTCAGCTCTGCAACAGAAAATAGCTTCAGAGCCTGAAACCCCAACCCAGCTTCCTCAGTAAGGATTTTCTTCAGAAAATTGTCAGCAGGCCTCACTACCCCCTGAAAGGTTGATTTAAGATGTTTAACAGATGCTTGAAACTTGATACTTCAATCATCAAATAGAGAAAATTAGTGGGAGGTATAGCAGTGGTCTCTTTTATCTATTTTTTCAAATGAAATAAACTGCCTTGGCACTTTGTTCATGCATGCACCTTTGTAGTGAATCGCTCTTATGTTACAATTGTATTTTTTTTATATATATAGTTTATTTAGGTTGGATCTCTTGGAAGAGGAGGATACATCAAAGCTTTTTTTTTGGGTTGGATCTCTTGAACTTAAACACAGGAGTTATGGACGATCTCTTGCATGCTTTGGATGATTCTAATTGGTGATCAAACATATGAATAAAATTAGTAATGTTAAAAATGTATTTATATAGTGTTTGATCATCCTTAAAATTTTCACATATTCAATTAATAAATAAATTCTCATAGAAATGGATGAAATTTGATTTCTGTATAAATATTATATTGTTCATCATGATTAATAACATTTGTTTAATTTAAAAATTATATGGAAAGATAGATATGAAAACAAAAACTCAGTCACCTCATCTGCGACGTGAAGCATCTGCATGATGTGATCAATGCACGTCATTAGTCATTTGCATTAAATGTTTCATTGTTTGAGTCGTTGCATATTATTCTTAGTCAATATAAATAATACAAATGCCTTAGTTTAAGACCACCCAAACCTTGAAAGCACCTCTAAAAACCTGAAATGACCAGATATTCATCATTCAGTCATCGGTAAATTATTCTAAAATAATTGCACTAGCACCCTTCAAATGGACCAAATTTTGCAATTCCATTGTACTGGTGCTCTAAGAAATGTGCACATTGTATTGACAATGTTGTGCGGATTGGCCTAAAATAAATGGAATTACCCTCATGTGCTCTGGCCAGCATGCTAAATGATCAAATCTCTTAAACAGAGAATGCTTCCGAGTTAAAATTTAAAAAAAAAAAATACAAAAAAAATATTTGATTAAGTATTTAGAAATTAAAATTAAGATGATATGAATTTGTTTTTCAATAAATGATAATTTGATTAAGAATTTAGAAAATGATTAAATTTGATTATTGTATAAATTTTTTATTTTTAAATTTAATTAATAAAAATTATATGGAATGATAGATACAAAAAGCAAACAAAAAAGGAGGATAATCTTTTTTCTTCATAAAATATTATAAAAATAGAGGTAGATCACCCATCATTTCATTCAGAAAGGGACGAGAAAGAAACTTCAATGTATTGTGATTCCACAAATGTATTAATTATGTGATTGAGAGTGTTTCCCAAATACATCTAGTAATTCCACAAATGCATTAATTATGAAGTTGATTGGAATTCCACTAGTTTTGTAATTAACAGTGTTTCAAGTACTATTTATGCAATTATCCGTTTCTTTTTATAAATTCAAGAAGGCAGAGGTGGCGAACTAGCTCTCTTTCTCTTGTTAGATCCATAGTTTCCTAGCATATATCACTGCTACTAAATGGTGAGAATTATTAGTGTCAACAGACTCTTAATTATCCTATTGTCTGTCTGTTTATCTTCCAAACAATTGTTTGCAGTTGGAATAAATAATACAGACTACAAATCACTCATTGCATTCAAGAATCAGTTTCTAAAGAAAAGCAATGTGAATTCTTCTACCATTTTCGCGAGCTCATGGAATGCCACCAACCACTTTTGCTCATGGGAAGGGGTCACGTGCGGCTTCAAGCACCGCAACAGAGTCACAGCCTTGGATCTCCATTCCGTCGGGTTGGTCGGTCCTCTTCCTCCTTCCATATTCAATCTCACCTTCCTAAGAAGGCTTGATCTCAGCCTCAACGAGCTGTATGGTGAGATCCCTCAAATTCTGGCTTGCTTACCACGACTACAACATCTTAACTTGAGCTTTAACTCATTTGATGGAGACATTCATGCTATTCTGATGATGAACCATAGCTCTGCTCTCCAAGTTCTTGACCTTACTAACAACCATATGATCACAGGAAAAATACCTCTTGTTATAAACTCCATGTCGCCACTCAAATTCCTCAGTCTCTATCAAAACAACATCATTGGCACCATCCCACCTTCACTTGCCAATTTATCTTTCTTGGAAAGTTTTTTTGTCGCATATAACCATCTAGAGGGAGGCATCCCACCAGAGATTGGCGTTCTTCAAAAGTTGAAACATTTTGATGTGGCTGTTAATAAACTTTCAGGTAACATTCCTTCTTCATTCTACAACCTATCATCACTGCAGATTATTACGGTGACAAAAAATCACCTCTCTGGTTACATCTCAGCCAATATTGCCCAAGCTTTTCCAAACCTTCGAGCCTTTCTTATTGGTGTAAATAATTTCCTTGGTTCACTTGATCGAGCTCTTCAAAATGTGACCAACTTAGTCCTTTTGGAAGTTAGCAAAAATAATTTTACAGGAGTGGTGCCACCAGACCTTGGAAAAATGTACAATCTTGTATACCTCAATATGGGAGAAAACCAATTTGAAGCAAATGATGAAAAGGAATGGAGATTTCTTAATTCATTAACAAATTGCACCATTTTACAAACTTTAGGACTTTCTGGTAATAACCTCCGTGGAAGGCTACCCAAATCATTTGGGAACCTCTCCATGGAGCTTCAACGAATAAAAGGATCTAATCACATTATAGGAAGAATCCCTTTTGAACTTGATAGGTACACCAATCTAATTAGTTTAATAATGGACAACAATCATTTGGAAGGTTCTATACCCGAGACCATTGGAATGCTTGGAAGGCTACAAGTTTTAGATTTTTATGGGAATGATCTTACGGGAATTATTCCTTACTCCTTAGAAAATCTCACAAGACTTAGTTTGTTGTATTTAGGATCTAATCAATTAACAGGCCATATACCTCCAAGCATAAAAAACTTCCAGCATCTCACTTCATTGGATCTCAGTTTTAACAATTTAACTGGTCTGATTCCAAGAGATCTTTTTTTCATTCCTTCCTTTTCAATTGCTTTGGATTTGTCAAAAAACTCTTTCGTTGGGTCTCTACCATTAGAAGTTGGTCGTCTAATAAATCTCGTTTACCTTGATTTTTCTAATAATAATTTGAGAGGAGAAATTCCAAAAACACTTGGAAGTTGTCAATCATTGCTTGAATTATATATGGATTACAACTTCTTCCAAGGCCCCATCCCTATTTCTCTAAGCAGTGTGAAGAGTCTTGAAATACTAGACCTTTCACATAATAATTTATCAGGTGTTATTCCTCAATTTCTACAAAAACTTATCTTTCTTAAGAAGTTAAATCTATCATTTAATAATCTTGAAGGTGAGGTTCCATATGAAGGTGTCTTTGCCAATTCCTCAGAAATATCTCTCATTGGAAATGAAAAACTATGCGGTGGAACTCTAACAGTTCATTTGCCAAAATGTGTTGCCCAATCATCGTCAACAAAATCTCATCATTTAATCAAAATTTTATTCCCAATTCTTAACATTGTAGTTATGTTATTCATCCTTTTGTTGTGCTATACTTTGCTTTATAGAAGGAAAAATAAAAAAGATTTAAGAAACGCATCTGGTTTATCTTTAAGCCCTCCATATCCAAAAATTTCCTATGCAAAATTAGTTGAAGCTACAAATGCTTTCTCCACTACGCACCTAGTAGGATGTGGAAGATATGGCTCTGTTTTTGCAGGCAACTTAAGAGATTATGATGCTATTGTGGCTATTAAAGTATTTAACCTTGAGGTTCATGGAGCTTTGAAGAGTTTTACATATGAATGTGATGCATTAAGAAGCATACGACATCGTAATCTTGTACGAGTCCTAAGTTCATGCTCGAGCATTGATATTCAAGGGCATGAGTTTAAAGCATTGATCTTTGAATTCATGCCCAAGGGAAACTTAGACACGTGGCTCCACCGAGAATATGAGATTGATGAAGATAATCTTCTCTCTTTGGAAAAAAGATTAAGTATTGTCATCAATGTTGCAGAAGCTTTGGAGTATCTTCACCATAGTTGTGAACCACCAATTATTCACTCTGACATAAAGCCAAGTAACATTCTACTTGACAATAACATTATTGCACATGTGGGTGATTTTGGACTCTCAAGAATGCTTTATGAGAATGTGAATATATCCAACAAAAGTGGCATTAAAGGAACTATTGGCTATATTGCGCCAGGTGATGTGATGAATCTTCTTTTCAATGTTAAAACTAATCATGTAATTTCCTCTCAAAGATTAATTGTATTTCAAAGAAATATTTTCTCAAAAATTACATTTACATTTTATCTACAGAACATGGAGAAGTAGCTCCCCTGTCTCCATCTGCTGATGTTTATAGTTTTGGAATAGTGTTACTAGAGATGCTTATTGGTAGAAGGCCTACTGATGATGTTTTCAGTGATAACTTAACTCTACGTAATCACATTAAAATGATGTTTCCTCATGGAATCAATTGCATAGTAGATCCTAAAATGTTTACAAAAGAGCAAAGAGATGCTATCAAAGGGGGTGGAGAACAACCACGATGGTTTAGTTGCCAAAGCATCAACAAATGCTTGCTTTCCTTGACAGAATTAGGTCTCTGTTGCACAGTTTCATCTCCAAAAGAAAGGCCTTCCATGAAAGATGTTGCTGCAAAATTACATGCAATTCGAGTTTCTTACGTACCTTCAGGCTGATGAAAATGATATGTTCTTGAAGAAAAGCTAGCATGTAGAAGCAACAACTTTTAAAGCAACATCTTTTAGTTGTTTGTGTTTTTAATATTACTTTCAGTATGGGATGAAATATATGTAGGAATATGCATGTAGATAGACATAGCTTATTTCTATTTTGTGAGAATTCAACATCAATTTATTAATGAATTGCATATTCTTTTTTATTAAAAACTATCAAACATTGCCTTCAACTATTATAAAAAAAAATATCTATAATGAACTTGCATTTTCGAAAAATATATTTTTCCTCTTAAGAATAATAATAATTTGTAAATAACTTTTTAAAAAATTATATCCTACATATTTCATGACATTAATTTAAGGAAATTTTTCAACTAATTTAAAAAAAAAAATTGAAAAATTTTTAGTCTCAAATTATTTGATATTCATGGGGAAAAGTATGAAATAAATTTTGAGTTTAAAATAAATTCAATTGTTTGAAGAAACAACAATTTTTTTATTATAAATTCAAGAAAGGAATGCATGAGTGTTTTCCCTCTCACTTTCTTGCTAGATAGATCATTAATTTCCTTGGCATAAGGATATTGACATACATACCACATAATACTAAAGTATTTACATTTCTAACCCCCAAATCATGATAGTTATGGTTATAACATATTGGTGCTATAAAATTATGTCTGAAAAGGTGTATTTTATTTTTAAAAATATTGTTGTTGTGATATTTTTACTGCGATATTAAGGATTTGAGTGATATTGATGTAAATATAAATCTTCAAGGGTTAAGATATATAAATACATAAGAATTATGTGATAAAATTAAATGTAAAGGTTTAGGTATTAGAAATGTAGATACATAGGAATTGGGTGGGATGCATGTAAGTTTGAAATGATGTAAACTGCCTTGGAATTCCACAACGACATCAACTCTGTTGAGTGAAGAGTCGCCGGATGTCAATTTAAGCTAACTGTCTAAATAAATAAAGGCAAAATTCATGAATGTATTGCTGATTAATTGAACAACCAAGTTTATTAAGTCCTGATCGACGTCAAGTTGAAAGCAATCAATGGCTTAGACTTGGACTTGGAAATGTTATTAGTTAATTAAATGAGGTGACAACACAATTATATATATATAAAATTGTAACATTAACATTTTAATAGCAAATGTTAAATATGTACTTAGATGCTCATATGCACTTCTTTAAGTTTATTTTTGCATTACATGCTCTTTAATATTTTTCAATTTCTTTTCTTATTTTATTTAAATTTACAAAATACTTAACAAATTCTCTTTAATTACTTATGAAGTACAATTATGACTGATAAGTGATTCAAATGAAATCAAATTTGCTTCACTTTGAAAATATATCCTTGGATGCAACTCAAAGCTAATTTAACATAATATTTTGCATTTTCATATTCAAGTATGTAGTTAGGTAAGTTTGTATATATTGTTGTGTGACTGAAGATTCGTGATAATATAGTGATTATTTAACGTCTTAGCGTTGCACGAAGATCCAACACACAAAGATAATAAAAATGTAGCAAAATAAGACACCATGATTTTTTTTATGTGGAAAAACCCTGAAAAACTAAAAGAAACACGGAGTCTTGCCCAGTCGAAGTAATCTATTGTATAATTATGAGTATAAATGTGCAGTCTTCACTTGAATTAAAGAAGATGGAATTAAAATATTGATAATCATACATGTATAATAGTCTTCCAGCATTAATAGTCGTAATTGGGCTAAAACAAATGAGATTTTGGGGATAATAGTGATAGTGCGCTTCAAAGGGCATACCTAATTGCTACAAAGATAGTATTTTTTTTCTTAAAGACTGTTGTCAAAGGCTGCAATAGCATCAATTGGTCTCAGAGACCATAGGTTGAAGCCATAATAGCAATTGGTCTCCTAGGCCGAGATTGATAGTTGTAATACCATCAGTTGGCCATAGAGACCATAGTTGGAACTATAGTAGCACTTAGCTTCATAGGTCATAGTTAATAACACCGGTCATAATTGTTAGTCGTAGTAGCAGTTAACCATATAGGTCATAGTTGAGAGCCACAATAACAACTAGATACATAGGTCATAGTTGGTCACATATATTGAGGTTGATAGCTGAAACTTGATGCTTCAATCATCAAATAGCGAAAATTAGTGGGAGGTATAGTAGTGGTTTCTTTTTATCTATTTTTTCGAAAGAAATAATCTGCCTTAGCACTTAGTTCATGCATGTACCTTTGTTGTGATTCACTCTTATGTTAAGGTTGTATTTTTTTTATTTTTCGGGTTGGATCTATTGTTAGAGGAGGATACATCAAAGGGGTTTCATAAAAGGTTTTTTTTTTTTTTTTTTTTTTTTTTTGGGTTTGATCTCTTGCGCTTATAAACACAGGCGTTATTGATGATCTCTTAGTTCATGCTTTGGATGATTCTAATTGGTGATCAAACATATGAATAAAATTAGTAATTTTAAAAAATGTATTTATATGGTGTTTGATCATTGTTATAATTTTTTACATATTCGATTAATAAATAAATTGTCATAGAAATGGATGAGATTTAATTATCGTATAAAAATTATATTGTTCATCATGATTAATAATATTTGTTAAATTTAAAAATTATATCGAAAAATAGATATGAAAATAAAAACTCAGTCACCTCATCTGAGAAGTGAAGCATCCACATGATGTGATCAATGCAAGTCATTAGTCATTTGCATTAAATATTTGGTTGATTGAGGAGTCGTCGCATACTTTTCTTAGTCAATATAAATAATACAAATGCATTAATTTAGGAGGGCCCAAACTTTGAAAGCACCTTTAAGGACTTGTAAGGACCAGATATTCATCATTCAATCATCATTAAAATATTCTAAAATATATGCACTAACGCCCTTCAAATGCACCAAAATTTGAAATTCCATTATGCTGGTGCTCTAAGAAATGTGCAGACTGTTTGAGAATGTTGTGTGGATTGGCCTAGTATAAATTGAATTACCCTCATCTGCTCTGGCCAGCATGCTAAATGATCAAATCACTTAAACTCAGAATGCTACTAAGTTAAAATTTAAAAAAAAAATCAAAAAAAAAATATTAGATTAAGTATTTGGCAATTAAAATTAAGATGATATTAATTTGTTTTTCAATAAATGAAGATTTAGTTTTCCATCATATGAATAAAAAATTTAAAAATGTATGTCTTCTATAGGTGGAGCAAATGATGATTTTAAAGTAGAAAATCTTTATTAAACCTGAGCTATTGGTGATCTATTGCATTGCATGCATTGGATGATTCTAATTGGTGGAAGTTATTAACAAAACTAGTATTTAAAATGGTATTTATTCACTGCTTGATCATTCATAAGTTTTTCATGTTTGATGAATAAATAAATTATCATAGAAATTGATGAAATTTGATTCTTGTATAAATTTTATATTATTAATCGTAAGTAATAACATATATTAAAAGTTATATGTAATGATAATATAAAAAGCAAAAAAAAAAAGATGATAATAATTTTTCTTCATGAAATAATAAAGAAAAGAAGATAGATCACCCATCATTTCATTCAGAAACAATCAAGAAAGAAATTTAAACATTTTGTGACTCCACAAATGCAGTAATTATGTGGTTAATTGGAATTCCACTAGTTTTGTAATTAACAATGTTTTGAGTACTATATATGCATTTATCCCTTCTTTTTATAAATTCAAGATGGCAAAGGTAGTGAAGTAGCTCTCTTTCTCTTGTTAGATTTTTAGTTTCCTGGCACATGTCACCGATATTCAATAGTGGAAATTTTTAGTGTCATCAAACACTTAATTATTCTCTTCTCTGTTTGTTTATCTTCCCAACAATTGTTAGCAATTGGAAGAAATAGTACAGACTATGAATTACTCTTTGTGTTCAAGAATCAGTTTCTAAAGCAAAGAAATGTGGATTCTTCTACCATTTTTGCGAGCTCATGGAATGCCACCAACCTCTTTTGCTCATGAGAAGGGGTCACGTGCGGCTACAAGCACCACAACGAGTCACGGCCTTGGATCTTCGTTCCTTCGGGTTGGCTGGTCCTCTTTTGCCTTCCATATTTAATCTCACCTTCTTGAGAAGGCTTGAAGCCTCAACATGCTCTATGGGGAGATCCCTCCAATTCTAACGTGCTTACCACAACTACAATATCTTAACTTGAGCTTTAACTCATTTAATGGAGACATTCATGCTATTCTAACGATGAACCATATCTTTGTTCTCCAAGTTCTGGACCTTTGCAACAACTATATCACAGGACAAATACCTTTTGTTATCAACTCTATGTCACCACTCAAATTCCTCCGTCTCGATGAAAACAACATCATTGGCACCATCTCACCTTCACTTACCAATCTATCCTTCTTGGAAAGTTTATATGCCTATTATAACCATCTAGAGGGAGGCATCCCACCGAAGATTGGTGTTCTTCATAACCCAAAAGACTTTAATATGGTTGTTAATAAACTCTTAGGTAACATTCCTTCTTTATTCTACAACCTATCTTCACTGCGCAGAGTTTCGGTGGCAAAAAATCACCTCTGGTTACATTTCAGCTAATATTGCCCAAGCTTTTTCATACCTTGTAATCATTTTTTGTGCTCATAATAATTTCATTAGTTCACTTGATCGAGCTCTTCAAAATGTGACCAGCTTAGTCCTTTTGGACATTAGCAAAAATAATTTTACAGGAGTGGTGCCTCCAGACCTTGGAAAAATGTATAATCTTATACGCCTCAATATGGAATATAACCAACCTGAAGCAAATGAAGCAAAGGAATGGAGATTTGTTGATTCATTAACTAATTGCACTAGCTTACAAATTTTAGCTCTTGAGGATAATAACCTCCATGGAAGGCTTCCAAAATCAATTGGGAACCTCTTCATTTAGCTTCAACAAATAACTTTAGGATTCAACTATACTTCAGAATGCATCCCTAACAAACTTGATAGGTACACCAATCTAATTAGTCTAGGGATGGAAAACAAGCTTTTGGAAGGTTCTATACCCAAGACCATTGGAATGCTTGAAAGGCTATAAGGTTTATATTTTTTTATGGCAATGATCTTCCGGTAATTATTCCCTACTCCATAGAAAATATCACAAGACTTAGCGTGTTGGATTTAGGATCTAATCAATTAACAGGCCCTATAATTCAAGCCTAAAAAATCTCCAACATCTCACTTTATTGGATATTAGCATAATAATCTAACTGGTTGGATTCCGAGAGAATTTTTTTCATTCCTTCCTTTTCAAATACTTTGGATTTGTCTTATAACTCTTTCACTGGATATCTACCATTAGAAGTTGGTCGTCTAATCAATCTCTTCTACCTTGATTTTTCTAATAATAATTTGAGAGGGGAAATTCCAAAAACATTTGGAAGTTGTCAATCATTGCTAGAATTATATATGGAATACAACTTCTTCCAAGGCCCCATCCCTATTTATTTAAGGAGTGTGAAGAGTCTTGAAATACTAGATCTTTCACATAATAATTTATCAGGTGTTATTTCTCAATTTCTAAGAAAACTTATTTTTCTTCAGAAGTTGAATCTATCATTTAATAATCTTGAAGGTGAGGTGTCATATGAAGGTGTCTTTGCAAATTCCTTAGAATTATCTCTCATTGGAAATGAAAAACTTTGCTGTGGAATTCTAACACTTCATTTGCCAAAATGTGCCAAAACATCATCAACAAAACTTCATCATTTAATCAAAATTTTATCCCCTATTCTTAACATTGTAGTTATTTTGTTCATCCTTTTTTTGTGCTATACTTTGCTTTGTAGAAGAAAAAACAAAAAATATTTAAGAAAAGCTTATGGTTTATCTTTAAGCCCTCCATTTCCAAAAATTTCTTATGCACGGTTAGCTGAAGCTACAAATGTTTTCTCCACTACACATCTAGTAGGATGTGGAAGATATGGCTTTGTTTATGCGGGAAACTTTAGAGATTATGGTGTTATTATGGCTATTAAATTGTTTAACCTTGAGGTTCGTGGAGCTTTGAAGTGCCTTACATATGAATGTGATGCATTAAAAAGCATACAACATCGTAATCTTGTACGAGTCCTAAGTTTGTGCTCGAGCATTAATGAGTTTAAAGCTTTGATCTTTGAATTCATGCCAAAGGGAAACTTAGACACGTGGCTCCGCCAAGAATATGAGATTAATGAAGATGATCTTTTCTCTTTGGAAAAAAGATTAAGTATTGCCATCAATGTTGCAGAAGCTTTGGAGTATCTTCACCATAGTTGTGAACCACCAATCATTCACTGTGACATAAAGCCAAGTAACATTCTACTTGATAATAACATTATTGCACATGTGGGCGATTTTGGACTCTCAGGAATGCTTTACGAGAATGTGAATATATCTCTTCAAGATTGTTCCTAGAAAAGTGGCATTAAAGAAACTATTGGCTATATTGCCCCAGGTGATGTAATGATTCTTCTTCTCAATGTTAAAATTAATCATGTCATTTCCTCTCAAAGATTTATGGTATTTTAAGGAAATATTTTCTCATAACATATATTTACATTTTATGTATAGAGTATGGTGAAGTAGCTCCCCTGTCTCCCCCTGCAGATGTTTATAGTTTTGAAATAGTATTACTAGAGATGCTTACTAAAAGAAGGCCTACCGATGATGTTTTCAGTGATAACTTAACTTTGCATAATCACATTAAAATGATACTTCCTCATGGAATCAATTACATAGTGGATCTTAAAATGTTTACAAAAGAGCAAAGAGATGCCAGCAAAGGGGGTGGAGAACAACCAATCTGGTTTAGTTGCCAAAGCATCAGCAAATGCTTGCTTTCCTCGACAGAATTAGGTCTCTCTTGCTCCGTTTCATCTCGAAAAGAAAGGCCTTCCATGAATAATGTTACTACAAAATTACATGCAATTCGAGTTTCTTATGTACCTTCAATTTAATGAAAATGATACGTTCTTGAAGAAAATCTAGTATGTGGAAGCAATAACTTTTAGTTGTCTGTATTTTTAATATTACTTTCAATATGTGATGAAATATATGTAGGAAGATGCATCTAGATGGACATAGCGTATTTTTTTTTTTTTGAGACTTCAACATCAATTTATTAATGACTTGCAATTTCTTTTAATTAAAAACTATCAAACATTGCCTTCAACTATTATAAAAAATATATCTATAATGAACTTGAATTTTTGAAAAATATATTTTTCCTCTTAAAAATAATAATAATTTGTAAATAACTTTTTAAAAAACCATATCCTAGATATTTCATGACATTAATTTAAGGAAATTTTTCAACTAAATTAAAAAATAAAAAAAATTTAAATTTTTTTTGTCTCAAATTATTTGATATTTATGGGGAAAAGTGTGAAATAAATTTTAAGTTTAAAATAAATTCAATTGTTTGAAGAAGCAACAATTTTTTTATTATAAATTCATGGAAGGAATGCATGAGTGTTTTCCCTCTCACTTGCTTGCTAGATAGATCCTTAATTTCCTTGGCATAAGGAAATTGACATACATACCACATAATACTAAAGTATTTACATATCTAACATTCAATTTTTGATAGTTATAGTTATAACATATTGGTGCTATAAACTTACGTCTGAAAAGATGTATTTCAATTTAAGAAGATGGTGGTTGTGATATTTTTACTGTGATATTAAAGATTTCAGCGATATGAATTTAAATGAAAATGTTCAAGTGTTAGTTAGATATGTGAATACATTAGAATTATGTGATAAGTATATTAATAACAACTAACTACAAATCACTTGTTGCGTACCTTCAAGAATCAATTCCTGAAACAAATTGATGTTTCCGTGATCTATAAGTCAGGGAAAGACGCAAAGTCAATTCGACACGTTGAGATGGGATAATTACATACAAACCACCCGCAACATTGATATTTACAAATCAACTGTCCTCTTAATTTTTGATGTATTTACACGTGCCACGATCAAACTATTAAGAATTTGATAATAATGAAAAATATGGGTTGGAGTTTTACCATGAATTTTAATATTTGATTGAGATTTTGAGAAATGAATGAATGACGTTGGTCAAACTTGTAATTAACAAGTTTTGGGTGATCTGTATAACAGTCTTGTCTTGACCTGGCCCGGTCTTGAAATTAATCAAGACAGAAACGGATAGTCAGATTGTGAAAATAAATTCTTTGTTATTATATTTCTATCGCTAACAATTTAATATTCAAATATTCAAGGAATAACGACTAAATAAAGCAATTTAATAATTCTCTAATAATATAATTGCCTTGTCACGACCCAACCCGGGCTTGGAATTAACCAAAATGGGAACGGATTATCGAATGGGGGAAATAAATTATCTGTTAATCTATTTCCATCACTAAAAGTTTAGTATTCAAACATTCATGAAAAAGCCACTAAATGAAGCAATTTACTTAACAAGTAGAAATTTATACCTTATCGATTGTTGTTCTCACCTCCTGTACACATTGGCTCCTCCTCTAATAATCATTCAAAAGCTTAAACCTAAAAAATATAGTTAAACAACATAATGAGTTATATAAAGATAACCCTGGAGTTATTCACACTCTAAACTACGATAACCAAGGGAAAAAAAAAAATCAATATACATGTTGATCTTTCATATCTTTATAAGAAACCTTGGAATATGCTAACATTTCATATTCTTGTGAGAAATCTTTGAATATATTAATGCATGTATCAATGGTCTTTACTAAATAAAAATTATTTTAAACTTCTATATGTATTAACTTTAACTTTACTTATATTTTATATTCTTAACATACACATCTGTCTGCATGTGGATCGCCGTCAAAATAATATAATACACTCATATTAATATTATCCCATCTCCTATTTCTTCGGGTTGAAGGTGGATCGGGATGGTTGCGTCATTTTCTCTTTCAACACCAAACTCTGGTGTCAGGTGTCTAAAGTAAGTTTAAGAACCGACGATCAAAAATTGTTGTTGCTTTGCATTGAAGGGGCTGGGGAATTTCCGTTCGACCCAGTACCCAAGAGGTGAAGCGATTGAAGGTTTTTTGGAACATAGCCAATGCTAAGCTGACATGATTGAGCGGCAGGAATTGTTCGTGTTCCAGTTTGTCAAGTCGGATGTCGTCAGTAGGGTCTTATGGCCCGAGACTTTCGGAGACATGGCCGAGAGTATTTATTTTGTATGTTCGCAGAGCATGCAAATACTTTGTATTTTATAAAGTCTCTTTATTTTTAAAGTCACATATAATGTGTCAATTTGCACACCCTTATGAGTGGGTCGCTCTATCAATAGAGTAGAATTGTAAGTCTTCTTTAGATCAAACTGATCATCTTCCTTACATGGGCTAGAGTTGATAAGGCCGAGCCCTCAGTCTAGTCCTCCTTAATGAGGATTGGTGTTGACTGGACTAACATTTTTTTAGTGCTAAAATCACTAAGTTTAATCAAATTATAAAAAGAAGCATTTCAGTCTTAATTCTCCAATGATTGTCACGTTCATTGCACATCCTAATCGGAAATGGTCTATTCATAAGATAAATTTCAAATTATAAAATCTAAAAATATTTAAATAAATTCTATCACTCAATGTCTTAAGGAAAATTCATCCACCCTCTATAATCACTAGTTGATGATAAGTTTAAGATTGACTAAAGCTCACAAAGTGTATATCATATTAATTATTTTACTAAATTCAAACTTGAATTAATTATGTGTCAATATGGAGGTGGACTGAGTTATATGTCCACATGATTTGGCCAACTTCACAAATGAAGCAGTTACAACCAGAGCCTTCTAATCGATCATTTAGCAAGTAGCCTCCATCAAATGGTTTGGCCAGTTGACTCCATTATATAATAGTCATAATTTTATTTTACATGTTTTTTGTTGATTCTCTCATTTGAGTTGTGAATCATACGATATATTTGATGGGGGACAAATCCTTTTGTAAGCCAATGTTGACTTATATTTGTCTCCATAGACAAACATTCACCTCGATTTATATGTTTTTTGGACGAAGCAACTCATGATTGTTGACAAAGATCATTCTGTTAGGTTGGGTTGAGTACCTCTAAGTAAATGGACCACATGATGATAGAATCATGAGATCTTGATGAGTTCATCACCAATCAACTTTAAACTAACAGTGATAATTTCATGTTTCATAATTTAAGTATGTTAATACTATATGTTAAGTCTGAACAATTGTGCCTAATTATTAACATTAATCTAAAGTGTTATCTTATTCCCGGGAGAGTTAATTAACAGAAGGGCTTGTGCTTATGAGAAACCTCAAACTCAAATGATAAAATTCTCACAAAATAATGGTAAAGTCATTGAGTAGTGTCTTATCTACCATCCTATGTCCCTTTTAAAATTGACCCGAAACCTCAAGGTAAATTACCCCACCTCATTCTCATTCGTTCTTTCTTTTCAAGCTAGGCATTGAATTTTAGAAGCCCACAACCTTCTTCATAAGTTTAATTAAACAGACATACATTTTAGATTGTAACACTATACACTTTAATGGCAATTGTTAGATATGTATTTGCATGCTCTTCTTTAAGTTTATTTATACATTACATGCCCTTTAATATGATTAAATTAGCTTTATTTTTAATTTATATATACTTAAGTAACTCCCTTTAATTAGTTATGACTGAAAATAATAATTGATATTCAAAATTCTGTCAGAATTTTAACTGATTCCTCCTCTTTATGCTATAACCGATCAAATGATTCCATTTTAAAACAATTTAAAAATTTTATAAAATCAACATTATTATTTTATTTGTAGAATATGGTGAAACCTCATCCATCCCCATCTATCTTTATATTTTGAGAGTAATACTACCAGCCAAAAAAATACCTACAGATGATATTTTTAAAAATAACTTAAGCTTATACAATTACATTAAAATTCTAATTTTCCTATGCAATCAATAGCATCATAGATCATAAAATGCTTGCCAAAGATGCCAGCAAGAGCTACTACCAAAGAGTCGACACAAATGCTTGCTTTCATTGGCACAAATAGGCTTTTGTGTTCAACTTCATTAGCAGAAGAAAGGCCATTCATGAATGATATTGCCACAAAATTGCAAACCTCTCCCACATGTGTGAAATACTTACAGTGAGGGATAATTTATGTGATCATTCTCATTAATTTGCTTTTAAGCATAAATTACTAAGGAAATGAAGAAAATTAAAAGTGATTATAAAATTCAATGACATGAACCAATATACAAGTAAATTGACTTTCTTCCATTTACCAAACCCAATATTTATCCAACTGTTATTTTCCTTCTCAACCAAAATTAATTGATGTTTACAGCACAGTCCTCAAAACCCCCAACTGGACATTCATCAAAAGAACATGACTACACTCTTCTAGCCTCAGATTGTGTATAAGTGTAACAAATAACAACCAAGTAATCAATCTGGAAAGATTTTCCAGCTTCTAACCTGCATGAATTAAAGCTCAACTCTACAAAATAAGGTACAGCAAGATGTACAATAAGTCCTCTTCTCATCCTCTCTTTTGCCTTCTCAGACTCAACAATAGAACATAACCCTTTTCACCTTCTCTTTCAATGCTGGCAGAGGTTTCACAGAAGAACCATTCTGCATTCTTATGTTATGTGTTGTCTGCTTATCAGAGAATTCAGGTTTCATATAAAACCGTGCTCGAAATGCGGCGAGATGAGCATAGTATGCAGGTGGCACTGAACATATTTTAGCAGGATAAAAAAAGTCAACAAATTGGTACAAAATTTTTGTGAGCAGGTAAGAGGTTGAAAAACATACCGACAGATACTGATCGAGTGCATCGAGCATACCTGGAAGTGGGATCAAACCAGTGAGGTATCACACAGGTTGTCATTCAAATGTAAAGTAGTGTGTATTGGGAGTTGGCTTACGTGTAACAGAGATTGTTTGTCAACGTCTGCATTTCATCTGCTGTGAAATTGTTTTCATCCCATATGACATGGTAATGAGCTGGTCTACTAGTTCCCTGGCAGGTACATGTATGATCAGGGGTATTATACATGCTCAAATAGAGGCAAATTATAAAAAAGCTGATGTATCAATTTTAAAAATAAAGTGGTTTATAACATCCATAATAGCTTTCAAAAACTTCATAATATTTCCCGCAGCAATTCTACAACTTTTTTACATATTGCTATAGCTGAAGCACAATGACACCAACCTACCTGGATGCCAGCATGACTACAAAGGTAGAAATCAAACTCCGTAGGATGACAGATTTTGGTATCAACCACAGTGCCTATATCATCCAAAAAACACTATTTTCTCATAAGAAAAAAATGTAAATAAATGCAACCAAAAGAAATAAATATATTTTCTATAACTGAACCATAAGTATTCATTCTATCAATTGAAGTACCAGGCAGGATATTTCCACTCTTGTCTGAACTGTTTCTATCCTTATGGTTGTTCACATAGAGCCTAGTGTGGTGTCGCTTTTGAACCACAACAAAGGTCACTGGAGGCTGATAATTTGGTTCTAACGAAGCACACGCCTGCAAAAATCATGCTGTAAGGATCATTCGATAAATGGGACGACTTTCTAGAAGTAAATTTGATGGAGATCGACAACAAACTTTACGAATTGCGTCCAATTCATACAAAAGGACCTGATAGAACTGTCCTTCGCTCACACCATCTCTGTCAGAATGAAGCAGAAAATAAGAAACCAATATCATTTAAGATCCCATGGATCAAAATGCTACTCAGAACCATCAGGGCTACCCCAACACCAGTTCAAGGACAATATATCTTATAACCGCTTGGCATAATTAGCAGAAAGTTTATAGAAGTGCCTTGTAACCATATTAAATACCAACATTGTACCTGTAGAATATTATTCTCATTGGTTTTTGACCAGTTGCCTTCCTGAAAGAAATCAGGAGCTCTCTGCAATGAAAGTAAAAAAAAAAACAGTTATTTAAAAGGTATGTCACTTTAAATGTTTTTCAATGTTGAGTTTTCTATCAGTTATTCCAGGTCAAATAAACCCCAAAAAAAGGAAAAAAAAACCTTATCATGCCTCCAGTAAGAGTGCCCCGCTGCGGATCATGCCAAGTTTTGTAAAGATCCTGAATAAGTTCTTGTCGATGAGCCTGAGCACACACAAGTCCAGCATATTTTGTAACTTCTGGCCAGTCTTGGGAAGCAACAACCTGTAGTTATTAATAAAAAATAAAAATAATAACAAATACAATTATCATTGAAAAATGAATAACAGGACTCTCATAGTATAAATGTTAAGAAATATTATAAGTACAGCAGCAATTGATGGACTAGAATCCTCCCCAGTCTCTGGATGAGTTACATCTGCTCCAAATATTATAGTTGGTTTGTCACTGACCAAAGGAATTCTCCAACTAATGGCATCCAAAAGAACAGTATTTCTCCCTCCCATCTGCAGTCATAGCAATGTAAAAGCAATAATAATGCAGAAATTAATTTTAACTAATAAAATTCGCATTTATAAAATGATCAGTAGAGTTTGAACCACACCTTAACGTTTATTTTGAGTGAAACATTTGCTAAGTACTGTTTGTTTATCTTAAAAACATGCTTTGTCAAACAGCATTGAGATATCAACCCCAAATCAGTCTCGCAGATTGTTTTGAGATCACCTGCGTCCACAAAGTTTTGAAATGAAATAGGCAAATATTTTTTCCTTGAAATATAACTAACAAAAAAAAAAGAAAAATAGAGAAAACAAATCAATGAGGCTTGACAGACCATATAAAGAACCATTATTATCTGGGAGTATGGCTAGAAGAAGCTCCAGCTCTTTTCCCTTCAGTTTATTCATTGCCATGTTATAGACATGTTTAAGAGCCTTTTCTACTTGATCAGGCCTAGAAGAATAGATTGGTATCACAGGTTCTCTGTTGAATTCCTAAGCAAAGTGTGTTATAGAGGTCATTAGAGTAGAGAAGGTGGATATAGAGCCAAAGAGTACATGTACTATTCAATTAATCATGGAAACAAAAGAATAAATGATTCCACCTTCAATAGAAACAAAAAGTTCAATAAAACAAAATTTGGAAAAGCAGACAAAACTTACACAGATCTGCCAAAAAAAAGAGCATAATGGGTTTCATTGGCTCAATGCAGGAATTAAAACTGTTACTGACAACCAAAGGCCAAACAAAAGCCTATTCAAAGATTGTCTTGTATTAAATGAGATTCCTCACATATATATGTGAAATTGATTCACATGCATGTTAGTACCTGTTTGGATGAAAAAATATTTACAGTTTCTTCCACATGCTTTAACCAATTTTTTTTATTGAAAAACTGCTGAGGCCTTAAAATCACAAACTATCCCAAATGAAACATTAAAACAAAAGAGCACCATTTGCAAACACAGCCAAGAAGTGCAAGCACAGACAAGAAGTGTAACCCACTTCACTGTCACTAGAGCCCACCCCATTGCCACGCGGTTCTGACGAATTAGTAGGAGACAAGGGATCATTCTTTATTTTTATTTTTTTATTTTTTTGCGGAAAATAAGTGAACAAGATTATTATCTTTTTTTATCCGAGTCCAAAAAAAAATACTCTAATTCAGAAAATTTATTACTTCATGTGTTTTGTTTATGTTATTACTTAAAATGAAACATGATTCTCATGTTAAAACATGCTTAGTATATTTAAAAACACTCAAAAACAACTTATTGATGTTTTGAGTATTTTTAAAATAAACTAATTTGTTTTTAAAAATAAAAAGTAAAGACATGAAAAAATATATTAAAAAAATATTTAAAAAAAAAGCAAACCAAAAAAGAAAAAAATAAAAGGCAAAAGTGTTATCAAATAAGCCATAATAAGTTCATGAGCTGAAAATTTTTACCATGCCAGATACTTGGCACATCTGCGCAAGCTCCTGACAGAACCCATAAGCTGTGCTTTCTTGAACGCTTCTTGAAAAGTTTATGCAGGCCCAGTTACTCACTATGCACCCATTTATCACTTTCTATTTGGGAGTAGAAAGAAATATCATAAAAAAAGTAGTTTTAAACATGCAATGACAAAAAGAGAAGAAGAAATAGCCACCACACCTTGTTCATCATATTCCACTGCCCAACTTGTGGTAAACATTCCTTCTCCTTTCCATTTTCACTATATTTCAGCTTTAAAAAGTAAAACGACAAAAAAAACAAAATTCAGCCATGAGATTGTGGTATACTTGATACTCCATCAATACATCAATCGAACATATCCATGCAATCGTGCATACCCATGGAGCAGGAAGAACCCGAGCTTCAACGGTGGCCAGTTTATCGCTGATGCTAATTCCGAATTCCTTAGCATAGGGATCTTGTTCATAAGAATTCTGATGAACTGTCTGAAACAAATGTATGAAATATATCATGTTTAGCTTACATTTACATGAATCACCATGCATCAACATAAATGACATCACTGATTACAATGACAATAAACTATTCTTTAGCTAATTAACATCAAGGTGGCCTCTTAATCTCTAGTGTAAAAAAAAAGGGTTCAAGCAGTATGGATTATGGTGATTTAAAGTGACAACTTGGGACAGAAAGGACCCACCAGACTGACAAAACAAAACAAAAAAAAAAAAAAAGTGAGCCCTTATGCAAAAAAGCTTTAGCAGAAACCAGGACCCACAAAACTCATGCTTCAAACAGAATAAAATGGGAACTCTTCAGCATGGTTCTGCAACTCCATTATTTGAGCCAAGTGAGAGACTCAACATGGTCCAAAAGGTTGCCCCTTTGACCTCTCAGACACGGAACAAAAGATGACAGCTACAGTTCAATATGCTTTTCATATGTTAATCTTTTCAGTTAAAAGCATCTATAAGATAAAAAGAATGGCTTTTTTGTCACAAATAGAGTTAAAATAATAAACCTGTAGAATATCCATCTCTTGATCTCTGGGTCTCTGGCATGTTACTTTGAGCAAGGCAGTTATCTGCTTCTCATTCAATCTCTTTGTGTATTTTTGACCATCAACAATCTTACAAGCCTGTACCAAAACGAGTATAAGTAATAAAGGGAGTAGATGTTTTACGAAAGAGGTGGAAGATTTGATAAAACCTCCATTGGAAGATAATTTGCTTTCTGATTTCCAACTTGAAGACAGGGAAGGTGAGAATGTTGGATGGTAAATCCATACATCTCTTTGAAATATTCAACCACAGATTTCATATTCATTTGTTCGTCTACTGGGAAGCTGAAAAAAATAAAAAAAACAAAATTTTAAGATCTCTTGTGTAATGCAATGGTTGATTTTGCAAAAAAAAAAATGCAAATATTAACTTTACCTTTTAAAATATTTGTAATTATTTTAAAAAGCAAACAGCTGTATAATAAGATGAGGAGAAATTATTAGGTGTGGGAGTTGCAAATCCAGCCAACTAATTAGAAGCTTGAACACGGCTATGTGGAGGTTCCTAAATCTTTTTCACATAATTTCCATATATTTCTATACATACATAATAATTTCTCTGAGATGGGAGATAGATTGAAGCTATTGTGGGTTTGCATAAAATGCTCAAATTTAATCCATCATCTGCTCCAAAAAATTAAAGAAAAATTACACATATGCAACCCATAACTTGACTATTTATGAAATTAACACCTAAAGCAAAAAAATGAGCTACCGAGTTAGCCTATCTATGTGCCAGATGACCCATTTTCTAAGGATGGAACTCTTTATACTCCTCAAGAATTGGAGATTCTTTTACACCTGGAGCTAGTTGATACAAATTTTTAAGCAGTCAAATTTTTAATAATATAGAGGAAATTGCACCAATAATTAGTGACTTGTACGTATACATGCGATTAATTGCCACAATCACATTTTTACATTAAAATGACATTACAATCTTCAAAGGCAAAACTAAACAAATCTATATTTAACCAAAATTTCATGCAAACAGACATGAAAAATTAAATAGAGTGAAAGAAGAATATAATTGTACATTAACTCGCGTGTAGGTTGGGATGTCAATCCAGAAACTCGATATTTCCGACGGACGGTTCCTCTATGAGTTACTTCAACTTTCACACCTCTAAGCGCCTTCTTAATCTGTTCAATGTTAACATACCAAACATGAATATTATTTAATGATTGGTAATTAAGGCATGTTAAACAATGTCGACCCATAAGTAGGGCCATAAATATTTAAAAAGTTGACATCATTTCAAAACGCTAATACAAGTTGTTTATTGATTGCCAAACACTCATGTATCTCATCAAAAATTCTACACCTTTTCATGCATGGGTAACGGAACATACATGTAAAAATTAAAGTTTAGGTTTTACATGTGTCAATACATAAGAAATGAGTTGTGTGCATGTAAATCTTCCAAAATTTAATTTTGATTTCTAATAATTAATTGAATACATCTTAGAAAGTTAGTCTCCAAATTTAAAGGAGAAGTTCAAATCACATGAATATGATGAGTGAAGGCTTATTCTGAACAATTGCTTCCATCTTAAAAAATACACATGAAACCACTGCAATAAAGTAAAATTTTAAATTTTTTATGGTTTTCTTTGGCTGCTACATTTGGTAAATTTGCATGGTAAAAGTATAACAATCTTTCACGCTGAGTAATGAAAAACTATCCTAATCACGCCATAAAATGATGGGAATTTGCAAATCACATGATTTAAACTTATGATTATTCCATTAAATCAGGATACCTTAACTCGATCTGCATCCGATAAAGGCCTTGAGATAGCATCCTTACCCAATATCTGAGCAGCAAACTCGATCACCGGCAGCGGTTCAATAAAAGCGGTCGAGGACATGTCTAACAGCAAACACATCCAGAGTAAAAGAGCACAAATTTGAGCAAAGTGGAGATATTTGCAAAAGTGTAAAACACAGACATAAAAGATAGAACTCTTGGCAGAAAAATTCTCACCAATGTTGAGAGAAAGCCCCATCTGAGTCGGCCTAATGCTTTGATAAAACCCACCCCAAGACTGCAAACCATCACCCAGCCTCTGAGGCTTTTTTATTTCAGGAGAATAGAAGGATCTCCCCACAACAGTGTACCTGTAATTCCATTCATTTTATCAAAAAATAAGGACGAAAACAAATAAATTTGGAGAATAGAAAAAGAAAAAAGAAACACCTTTGATTCGATAGTTCCCTCAAGACAATATCTAGCACCTGAAGCGCCTCTTGAGGAGCATGAGTCTGCTTCCCTTCGAGAAACAATTTTAAATGGTCGAGATCAGCTCGAGCCACGAACTTGATTGCCACCTTATACTCCCTATCCCTTCAAAGATTAAATTTTTAAAGCAAAGACGACATAAATAAGATAGATCTTGAACAGAAATGGACAATGGAGAATCTCTTAAACTCATTTAAAAAAATAAATATATGCATATATTCCAAGCCCCACCTCGTGATTCCTGTCCCTTCATCCTCGACGCTGAGATTGATAACAAACTCCTTGGACCTAAAAGGTAAAACTCCCGCAGTGTATAGGCTCTTTCTGCCATCGTAGGCTGGAAGCCTCATCCCCATCCCCGTCTCCCTGTAAACCCTCACCAGCTCCGCCATTATCGCCCTATTCAGCTGCCTCGAACTCACCTCCGGTGTAATCGTCACCTGCATCCATAAATTGACTCATTTCCGCTCCATTTCCGATCAGAATTCGATATTGATCAGCAAAAACCGAAAATGTACTCACGTCGTACTGGTTCAGATCTTTATCCGGAAGCTGCGCGAGGAAATGGTTCGCCTTGACGACGCACTTCATGCCTACCTGACCGAAACCAGGCCGCCGGTGGAAAGTGATCCCTTTCGTCGACGCCGGAGGCTCAACCGTCTCCACGAGGATCACTTCCCCGACCGCCGGTTCGAATGGTTTCAACCCATCATCTACTTTAGCCAGCCTTCCCTTCCCCCTCCGCCGCACACCAACCTTCTTCTTCGCCACCACCGCCGAAGGATTCGTCGCCGGTTGATTGATAAGTTCGCCGGACTGCAGCGGCTTCTTAAAAAAAAGCCTCTCAACTCCATTAGCCTCCTTCATCTGCCCAATGGGCATTTTCGCCGGAAAGCAGTCACCTTTTCTTCTTCGAACGATAAAGAAGATATTTTTATCAAATGAAACAGGGTATAAATTAAAGCATGACGCAGCAGGAAACAGAGCGCATTGATATCAGCTTCCTCAGCAAACGTACGGATCTACGATACCCAGCCAATCGCATTGACTTGCTGCTGTGCATGATGAACTTCAGCACTCCAAAGTGTTAGAAAGCAAGAGAGAGAGAAAGAAGCTGGTAAAGGCTGCATTAAAGAAGAGAGGAGGAGAAGCGAGCATTATTACTGTTAGTTCATGCATATATTGTTGCTGGCCTTTCCTCTACATACAATACCGCATGGATAAGCAACCAAAAGCAATATTATCTTTAGCCCGAATTGAATCAAAGAAGAGATTTTGCATGCGAGCAGTCAATGTAGAGGAAGCGGGGGATTTATAGAAGGGAAGATGGGTTAAACGGACAGTTTCCACTTCGGGATAGGTGGCAGCAGGGATAATACCCCTGCTCTGTCGTCTAGCGATGGAGGAGAGAGAAATAAAGCAGTGGGGAGGCCCAAACGACGCTCTTTTCTAAAAGACGAGGGACAAAGCGGAGCATTCAGCAGCCGATGGCAGTAGCAGCGCACGCCAGTGGCCCCGCGAGAACGATGACCCAAGCCACACCGCCACATGCACTGTTTTAGCTCCATCGTTCTCTGTAGCCCTGTAGCCCTGCAGCAATGTAGCTGGTCAGAAGCCATTAATTTAAGCATTAAATCCTTCCTACTAATGCCTTGCCTCTTCTCCCGTCTCATTCCCATTATTCCATGCCTCAGAGATGTCAAAAGATAAAGGGCATAGATTTAATGCTTTTCCTCTAAAAATACAAGCATTTAACAAATTTTGGTTTTACAGCCACTCAAACTTCCTCTTCGTCTCAGGGAAGGCATTAAAACCAAATTAGTGTTTGTAGCAGGGGAGAATAAAAGGGAAATATGATGAGTGCCAGCAAGAAGTTGGGAGGGAGGGAGGATCTATGAAATCATACCCCTGTAGTTAACTGCTTGGCTACCGTGCCCGCAAGTTGCAGCTTCGCTATGAAAGTTTTTGGAATTTGATTGGATTTAATTCAAATCATAAAAAACAAAGTATACAAATTATCTTTTGAAACTTTAAAATTTTTTATGGGTTCCTAAAATTTAGAACTTTTACTCCATCATTAGTAAATTTTTATCATTTGTGGTCATTTTAAAAGTAATTTTTTAAATAATAAATATTTAAACTTTAATTAAGAGTCATCTAGAGCTCTAATTTCAACAAATTTATAGTCAAACTGACTGGCTCGATGAGACGGACATAATAATATCAAACTTTGTCCAATTCGAGTCAAATTAAACTCAAATCAAGTCAGTACAACTCTTAAAAGTTTTTCAGACATATTTAGGCTCTGTTTGGCGCAGCTGCAGCTTCTCAGCTTTTTGCAGCTTCTCAGCTTTTCAGCTATCAGCTTTTCAGCTACAGCTGCGCTGTTCCAGGAAGCTGTTGTGGGGAAGCTGCTGTGGGGAAACCGGTTGTCTGTTTGGTGCAGCTGTGTGAAAACAGCGGTGGGTCAACTGTTTATGAAAAAATGACCATTGTGCCCCTGTTTGCTAAAACTATTTAAAAGAATTTTTTAACAACCACATTTTTTAAACTTCAGAAGCTGAAATTCATTTCTAAACAGAGCAGAAAGTTCAGATACACCAATGACCTAATAGTGAGCCCCAAAAATGAGATCAACCCATGAGAAAAGTTTCATTTATTATAGAAGACAAAATAAATTAGAGTCCAAGATCAGAGAAATAAATTTCACGAACGGGTACAGAAGTAATTTTTCCCATCAAGTTGTGATGACATCCAATTTATTGAAATTGCGATGTTATCCTTTTTTATATGAAATTTATCCGACTTTGTGGTAGTGTACAGTGCCTACTTCTGATGAACCACCCTCTTCTCTTCCACAGTCACCTCAGTGGATACTATACGTAGACGGAACATCTGAAAAACTCAGGAGCTGGTGCAGGAATAATACTCATCTCCCCAAAGAAAGACATTTTGGAATACGAACTTCATTTGAAATTCCCAACCACCAATAATGTCGTTAAATATGAAGCACTTGTCGCCGGATTTAAGCTTGTCATCAACTGTGAAGTACGAAACATGATTATCTACACTGATTCTCAACTTGTTGCATCCCAAGTAGAAGGAGAATTTGACGCTCATAACTCACAACCGGTGCAATATCTCAGTCTGGTAAAAACACTTATCGCCTAAATTGAAACATGTCAGCTCATTCATATACTTCGAGAGCATAACACTCGAGCTAATGCCCTCTCCAAACTTGCAACTTCAACAAATGAAGATCTCTATAAAAGAAAGTATATTGAGGAGATACATTTTCCTAACATCCATGACCCATGGGAAATACTGTCTATAGATGACCCAAGAGATCCATCTTGGATGGATCCCATCATCTTCTTCCTCCGAGACAGAACACTGCCATATGATGCTACTACATCAATTCATATCCGACGCATGACTGCCAACTTCATCCTTATAGGGGATGAACTGTACAAGAAGGTGTTTGTAGGTACATATCTCAAGTGTCTTCCTCCATCTGAAGCTGATTATGCTCTACGAGAAGTTCATTCCGGAGTATATGGAGAGCATCTTGGTGGCAGGGCACTTGCTCTAAAAATAATGAGGCAAGGCTTCTACTGGCCCATGATCAAGCAAGATGCATTAGAGTTTGTGCAAAAATGCAATAATTGCCAATTACACTCCAATCTCACGCATGCACCGCCAGTAGAACTCACATCTTTTTTGAGTCCTTGGTCTTTTGCCCAATGGGGGGTAAATATGGGATCATTTTCGATTGCTATTGGACAACGAAAATTTATCATTATAGTTGTCGACTACTTCACCAAATGGGT